TCACGTTCTTGAAATTATCGAAGTGTAGCTTTTCCACTCTTTATCGCCCTCTACCTTTTTCTCATCCTAGTTGTTTTTGTATTTTGTTTTGTCCTATGCTTTTCCTATGGATATTTGAATTTTTGTAGATATTTCATATTGAACATTTTTGTAGATTCCTATTCTGAAAAAAGTGACAACATATACATGTTTTTTTTTATATAAATGTATGCGTGCAAGATAGATCACTTCTTGTAGCTATGCCCATGCTAAGTAAAAGTATTTCAATGATTTGTAAATATCAGTAACAACAGAAGAAAAAAGCAGGAGAAATGTGACAGAGAGGGAAAGGAAGAGAGAAATAACGCAGCCCGAAATAAGAGAGCGAGGGAGAGTGAAATCCAGGAAGCGTATAACTGCCCCTCAGCCCTTAAGTATTTCACACAATTTGTTTTATCCTAGGACTACTCCACCCCCCACCCCTGGATCACCCTACCCGCCCATCCCCCTTCCCAGAGCTACCCCCATGCCCCTCCCTCCCTCCGCCGCTTCCCTTTGGTATCCTGTTCACCTACATAACCACAAGCGTGACGTCATAATTTTCTGACTTCATAATTACGGACTGCAGCTGGGTCCTGCTTGCTGATATTATCCCCAACTGTAATCGTAAAGGAAATTAGGCGTTTACTGTCGGAATTTCGCGTCATGATAGACATTAAGAGTAATACTGAAATAAGGAAATACATCTATATGGGCTGATTCTTTACCCAAAAGTATGAAACGTAAATGGGATAATTTTTTTGAAAATGTAAACAAAGCGTTCTTATAAGAGGCTAATCCGGATTAAGACACATCACGAACGCGAGATGAGGGATACTTTAATTGAGTTTTCGTGTCATATGACATAAATTATATAGGAGAACAGCGGATACAACGAAACGAAAGTCATTTGGCGTGACCGGGTAACATATGTAATGTCGACTGGTAAGGCTTTCCGTGAATATATATTTATAAAGGAGCGGATAGTATCAAAGGTGACGACTTTCTAACGATTAACATAAGAGGAATCTTTATTCAAATAGAGAGCATATTTGGTCTATTACAAAGGCGCTTAATGTGATGGATTTCCCTCGATCTGTGATACAAATAACTGAGTCCGTATTGGTATGCATGCTGATCGCTGCTCTCTCGCTATTCTTCTCTTGGACAACTTGTCAGTGTCTGTTTGTCTGTCTATCTATCTATCTATCTGTCTGTCTGTGTCCCCCTCCCTCTCTCTGTCTACCTGTCTGTCCGTCTTTCTCTCACTCATTCATTCACTCTTTCCCTCACTCTATTTCCCTCCCCCTACTATCTTTCTATCTTTCTCTCTTCTCCCTCTCCTCCCCTTCCCCCCCCCCCCCTCTTCTCTCTCTCTCTCTCTCTCTCTCTCTCTCTCTCTCTCTCTCTCTCTCCTCTCTCTCTCTCTCTCTCTCTCTCTCTCTCTCACCTCCCTTTCCCTCTCCCTCCCCCCTCCCTCCTCCCTCTCTCTCTGTCTTCCTCTGCTAGTCTTTATATTTCTCTCTCTCTTCTCTCTGTTTTCGTTCTATGTTCTCCTCTCGTTTTATCTGTACATCTCCCACTCTTATCTTCTTCCTTCCATCTATATCTTTCACATTCTCTATTTAGCACACATTCATGCTCCCTTTCCTTCACTTCCTTCTTTTTTTAATTTCTTCCTTTCTCTCTTTTCCTTCCTTCATCACTCACTTTCTCCTACCGTTTCCATTTTTTTCCCTCATGCCTTCCTTACACTCTCTCCCTCGCCCATTTCCTGTTTCTCCTTCGTCTCCGTTTTCTATGCCATTCCAGGTGTCTCTTTAGGAGGGGGATTTCCGTTTTCTTTTGGCCGGGTAAACATGGCGGCTGGGCATTCCTGGCGTGTTTTAAGACCTGGATTTAACTTCCTTGTCTCACTTCTTCTTGGAATGGTGTTTGGTTATTTTGTTGAGGTTCGTTATCCTGTTTCTTTCCTTCTTTGTAGATTTAGATTTATGTATTTATTTTATTTTATTTGTTTGGTTGGTCATATTTATATTTGTGTATATGTATATGATTTTTTTCTCTATATATACATACTTGCTCTCTCTCTCTCTCTCTCTCTCTCTCTCTCTCTCTCTCTCTCTCTCTCTCTCTCTCTCTCTCTCTCTCTCTCTCTCTCTCTCTCTCTCTCTCTCTCTCTCTCTCTCTCTCTCTCTCTCTCTCTCTCTCTTCTCTCTCTCTCTCTCTCTCTCTCTCTCATTCTCTCTCTCTCTCTCTCATTCTCTCTCTCTCTCTCTCATTCTCTCTCTCTCTCTCTCATTCTCTCTCTCTCTCTCTCATTCTCTCTCTCTCTCTCTCTCATCTCTCTCTCTCTCTCTCTCTCTCTCTCTCTCTCTCTCTCATTCTCTCTCTCTCTCTCTCTCATTCTCTCTCTCTCTCTCTCTCTCTCTCTCTCTCTCTCTCTCTCTCTCTCTCTCTCTCTCTCTCTCTCTCTCTCTCT